TGGATCAAGTATAATGATATCTGACAGTGATTAAAATCACTCTAAAAAAAAAAACGCTTCGATGCAAATCTTTAGATAGTGTTTAATTTTAAAAAATTGGTGTATTATTCCAAAAGCTACATAATCTGCTAGTTCCTTATTAATATCCTGATTAAATTAAAGTATGTCGAATGAAAAAGGGATTATTAAAAAATATTACTTCTCATAAAAAAATTGTATGGATCCATATATTTTTCAAAAAGTTATAGCATAATAAAGTTAAAAATGTAAAAAATAATATCGAGAATTTTCACACGAAAATAGCATTCGGTAGCCATTTTTGGCGTGAAGACAAGTCCAGAGGTCAAATTTTTTTTTTTTAATTAGAGTATATTACATGAGCTTTAATTTAAGATATATATAGAAGTGTCAGACCTTCCGGAACATTTTCAAAAATTAAGTTGAAAAAGTTGTCATTTTAAATCCCCCCCTGTGGGCAGATTAAGGGTCAGATTTACAAAAAAAATATACCAAATGATAGGTAAGAACATCAAGCATCTATAAAAAAAAATTATATTGATATGTTCATTTTTGAAAAAGTTATGGCAGTTTTTAGTAAAAAAAATTGAAAAAATTTCGAAAATTAGCAATTTTTAAATTTGTAATTTTTTTGGAGGTTTCCCCCATTTACGGGGAACGAGGGAAATTTTTTCAATTTTGAAGGGTAATGTCTTCGACTAGATACGATTTGTGATCTTTTGACGTATCGTTGAAAGANTTTTTTCAATTTTTAAGGGTAATGTCTTCGACTAGATACGATTTGTGATCTTTTGACGTATCGTTGAAAGAAATCCGTTCGTTGAGAGCTAAGAAAAAGTGGTAACAGACACAAAAAAAAAAAATAAAAAAATAAACACATCTTAATAAAACCAATACCTTCTCAGCTTCGCATTGAAACTAAAAATGAGATTTTGGATAGTTTTTCTTTTTTAATTTTAGGAACATTGTATTAGTTCTAATTTTATAAAGGCCTAAAAACAAAATTTTTGGAACATTTTGATATAATTTTAAGACCTCGCAGTAGCTTGGTTAATGATTGGATTTTCAAAAATTGTATGTCGCTAGCAAAGAAAATATTTAAAGTATTTCAATAATAATTGTAAAATTATTATTGAAATAATTCACCGTTCATTTTTCAAAAAGTCATTTCATATGACTTTTTATAATAAATATATTTTAGCTTCGATGCGAAGCGGAGAAGGTATTAATTTTACTATGATGTGTTTTTTTTTTTTTTT